CCGACAGGCGCAGGATAACAAGCACTCCATTCTGTATTAGGACGATTGGGTGGGACACTAAAGCAAGTTGTTGTTCTCTACAACTCGATTGCAGGGACATTTTGCACTGAAGTAAATCTTACTTCTTTATAAGACCAAGTAAATACTGCTTCTTCATCACGAAAGCTAGCGTAGCTAGTCTTGCGTTTCTGTCTAAGTTTGTAGTGTGGGTAGGATCCGTGCCGCCGATCCGGGTAATTCTCTTGATAGATCAATAATTTTGCCCCTCCTTCTGCTTCCCAACGAAGTATCAACATGATGCACGAAACATCGGCGCCGCCGATGCGAAAGGCATTTCGGGTGCAGGATATGCGGCAAAAAACAATACAAACGGCATAACGGTGCTTCTGCGTACGAGCAACACCATCACAAAAATTACGACGACAGTCGTTGCCACAAAAGACCAATGCCTGATGCCCTCCGAGTGCAGGATACACCGGAAAAACCGATGCAAACGGTTTACGTCAACATCGGAGGCAACGACAATGACATTTGTGGCAGCAGCAACAGCAACAGCAGGAGCAATAGCAACCACAGCAGCAGCAGCAATTTATTATTGGACGCTGAGCGAGCGGGCTCTGCTCATTGCGGGCGTGTGAGACTGCCTTTGCACCTGAGCAAAGGTCTGAGAGCAGAAATGCAAAGGGCCTGGGCCTGAAAGCACTGAGAACAGGCTAACGTAAGGAGAGAGCTACCCTACAAGCTACATCAGAGGCCAGCTCATATTACTCAGGCGTGGGTGAGAAACCCTCCGACACCCTCAGTGTGGACTATGGTGTCCCATGTCCACGAACCAATGATTGATGAGGCGTACCCCGCGGGACCGTCACTCAGAGTGCCTGTTGCGTGGCGTCCCACTCATGGTCACTCTCAATCAGAGGCGATGGGCCGTAAGGTCGCAAAGGTGATGAGCACGTGGAACGGCTGCTAGTGCTGTTATCTGAGGTAGCTCCGCTTTTGTGGGCAAGCAGATTGCATCGGTGAACGATGTGGCACACCCTGGCGGTTAGCACACTGTGCCTGATAAGGCTAACCTTATTCGTAAAAGGCGTACTCCCCTCCAGAGGCCAGGCTTGCCGGCACTGGCTTGGGGGCCTCGGACAACCCCCCATTCTCGAGCCGAGAATGGGGGTTTGCAAAACCTTGATTTTTAGGCCTCGGACAAACCCCCATTCTCGAGCCGAGAATGGGGGTTTGTAAAGCCGATTTCAGCCATTGGTCAGCTGTGTTGCTGACAGGCGTTGCTTTTCTGGGAAAGCAGCGAGCGTTGCCCGACTAGCATGACAGGTAGAGGCCGCTATTGCACACAAACGCTGAGTAGAAAAGCCACGTCAGCTGTACGACTTGAGCAGCAAAACTAAGTGACAGCGTTCCTGCTCCCTGCCGTACAGGCAGGTCGGTTCCGCAAAGCCAGTGGGTCGCCCCCTCCCTGTAAAAGGAAGTGGGGGCCCCTGGCTGCAGGTGAACCCTCAGCTTATTCATCAGAAACATGGACTGGCATGGGGCCAGCCTCCGCTGTGTGCGGTAATGAACCAAGTCGCACGAACAGCACATAGCAGCCGTGGCGTGCTTGCCTTACATCAGAATCTGAGGCCTGAACCGACGGACGACCATCGTCCGTGCTGAGCCAAGGTTGATCGGGGTTGCTCCTCCAGAGGGAGCGATAGTGTCCACTGTGCGGAGTGTCTCCTATATGAAAGATACAGGACTGAATCCATGTTCTAATTGAACAGAGCCCATCGGGTCCCACTGCGGGAGCTGAACAGGGCGGTGTAGACCAGTTACGGCATAACTAAGCTTGCGACCTTCAACGAATCGCGCCACAGAAAGAACCACCAGCCGTTGCTGCCCTCGAAAGGCGGTGTGCACTGGCTGGCCAGACCACCGAGAGATCAGCTCCTGAAGTTCGTGAGATCCGGCTGTCGTCGGAGCCGGCAGCAAGGCGAGCGGACCTCCAGCATCCGTGACTTCAGTAGTGTTTACGTCCCTGACCTCCCAGGGCCTTGCGATCGGAAACCCAGTGATGCCTGCAAACAATGCCACTAGAAACTCCGAAGCATCTTGTTGTTGACCATCGTAGTGCCAAGTGGGAGTAAGATGACGAAGAGTGAAAGAGGCAGTCAGGGTGAAAGGGGAACCAGAGGCGGAGTCAGCCACTTCATGGTGGAGGGAGGTGCTGGCTCTTCCATGCTCAAGCAAGATGCGCGTCGGCACCAGGGCCGAAAGCGTTGAGTTCACATAGCAGTAGTTAGAGATATTGCGCAGCGAGCGGGGAGCAGCGAGTGCTCCGTCCTTTGATCCTTCTACCTCTGGATTCGGTGGCAAGGGGCCTGCAGGCGTTGCCTGGCGGGGCAGGGGCGTTGCTCCGACAGCGGTTTTGCCGTCCTGTTTGGGAGCGTGGCCCGGTGTCGTGCCAGCCACTGGCATGTACCTACGTAGCGGTCCACCCTGGCAGCGGGAGAGATCATGAACCAAGTCATAGAACAGAATCTGAAATAGTATCGGACACTGTGCCGGATGCTGCCTCTTGTCCGTAACCTGCTTGCGACAGCACGGACAGGACATGCCCTTCACAAGGGTCAGGCCTGATTTGCTGCTCTGTAATGCAGCAGCGGCCCCATGAGCCGCGCATTCGGGCTTGTGGGCCTGCCTGATGTGGGATTTTAGTTTGGTGTTGTCCGGAGTCCAAAACCCACACAGCAAGCAGTGAGAAATGAGGTCCTGAGACTCGTCCGATCTTCCTAGTTCAACAGCTGTGTGTGTGGTAAGGGTGTCATGCAAGCGCTGCTGCCTGGGATGCAAGCTGGGCTTCAGCTGCGAATCTGAGGGAGGGTGCGCCGCTTCATCCAGCTCCTGTAGCCTAGCTGGCTCCGAACAGGCGCCAGATAGCAGGTGGTCTTTTAAGCCCTTCATTTGAGGAAATTGCCTATTGCAGGCTGCACACTTGGGGAGCCCTCCTATGGAGAGGGTGTGGGAGAAGCCGCGAGGGCCATATCTGAGGACCGAGCCTGGATGCTTTCGGGCCTGGTGGGTGCGAAGGCCAGCCTCAGTGTCGAAGGCCTGAGCACACGTCGGGCACACTACGGACGGGGGAGCCTCCTGCTGTGCTGTGTCCTCAGAAAGTTGCTGCAGAACGTCTGCATAATTGGCAGAGAGCGCCTCCGCTTGGTGAAGCGCCTGCTGTGTCAAAGAGATGTCACCTGCAGGAGTTTTCCGCTGTCGAAGACCTAAGCGCTTAACACGATTGGCTTGTAGCGCCTGCAGCTTACAAACAGGATCCATGATCTCATGGGAGGCATAGAGGTCAGCGGTGGAGATGTGTGTTAGGTGCGCTGGCTTATTCAGGACAGCTCGGATTTTGCGAGCGTGCCAAGCTCGCAACAGTTTGGCTGTCTCCAAGGTCAAGCCTACATCCACCAATCCAGAGGCCACTGTGGCCCAGACAGTTCATGCCAAATGTGCAACCGCGATGCCGGCCCTGCCGTTCGTCTGTTGTGAACGAAGCGGCGGTACCTGCTGCAATTTCACATTGCCCTCCTGCAACCGAGACTTGAGAGTAGCCTTCTCGAAATTGGAGTAGGAGAGCATGACTCCGAGATACTTAAAGGACGTCACCTGCGGAAAGCCCTCGTGTGACTTGGACTCTCCCAGTCGCCACATCTTGTGGCGAGTTCCGTCAGGCGCGGTGCGCCAATAGGTGTGCTTGGAGATGGCGCGTTGCGCCTGTTGGCCCTCGAGCTTAATCATGACAGTGCATTTCGCACCGTTGACAGCAAATCCATGGCTGCGGACCAACTGCAATAGCTGCTCTATCAGAGCATGAGCGCGGTCCAGATCCTCCAGTGAGTGGATGTCACGGTGAATCGTTAGGTCATCCGCGTAGCCTGTAAGGTAATCCACCACAGCTCGAACTCCAACAAGAGCTATGAGCTCCCGGAAGATGGTGCCCGTAAGCATGGAAAAGAGTGTGGGGGCAAGCTTACAACCCTGTTTTATGCCCGCTGTGGATTGGATCGTGTCCTCTTCACCCTGGGTGCGAAACGTGTAAGCACTGCCAGCATGTAATGAAGCAACTAGGTTAATGAGGTCCTGTGGGACTCCCGCGTCCCGCAGGGTGCTGAGCAAGTCTGTCCTGCTCACCATGTCAAAGGCTTGTGACAGGTCTAGCGCAAAACAGATACTACCTACCAACTGGGGGCGAGTTCGCCCCGAGTGAAGCTGATGCCTGGTTCGTCGGGCCTCCTGGTAGTTGCTGCGTACCTGAGTGACATGACCAACGACCCTGTTCAGAGCATCGGAAAGACCACGATGGGGTTGGTAGGCAAATTGTGGGAGACCCCGAAGATAGTCAGCCGTGTAGGGAGACAGCTGATCTCTACAAGCCCCCGCCAGGCCCTTGCCATCCGGCCGAATGATGCCGAGGGGACGGAGATTGCCAGGCTTCGTGGCCGGCTTGTTAGGCTGTAGGATGAAACACAAGTCAGGATCCTTTAGAGGCGGCTGAAGAACTTCAGCAGCCGGCAATGGGCGTTGCCCCCGAGATTGCAGCGTTGCTGCTAGTGCCGCTCCCGTATCTTCCGAGCAGAGCCGCCAGGCAGCCGCCGCAGCCGAGCCCTGCGGGACCGCCTTGTGCGGTCTGATGGAGCCTACTTCGATGATCAAGGTGGTTATTAAACAAGTAGCACACTTAGTATATAAATAGCAGGCTTGTCGAGGTTAGGTATATGTAGTTAGGAAAGTGTCATAGTTACACTTACGATATGTAGAGTAGTGTAGTTAGCTAAGTACACATACCGGAGTTATGTGTCGGAGTTATGTATGGGTGTTTCTATATATGAGTGCATATAACTGTGAGTGTGTATGCACAATCTCAATAGACTCGCAGGCAGGGCTACAAGCTCGCCATGCAGATTTTTTCTTAGGCAGGAGTGACCATGACCTCGCCATCCTTGGGACACTTCTTATAGTAGCATGCCCTCTGGAATGTGGACACTCGGAATAAACCGAGCCGTGGAATCGTCCAGGAGGAAGCGATTCTTACCCAGAGGCTTCAGAATGCTACACAAAGTGCACATGTCCCCGTCATACAGGCGGCAATGCAGCCCCACTTGGACCACATCACCAGAAGAAAGCAGCACGAGATCACCTTTCTCGCAGCTCTGGCCCGGCCTGCAAACGGCCTGAAAGGAAACAGTCGCACCGCATGCTCGATCGCCGAAGTTTGCATTCAACATGGCCTGCAAAGAGATCGTAGCTTTCTTGGGTGACAGCAGATGGGGCTGCAGACTGAAAGAGTCCGCTTGCATCTGCAGGATCACTTCGCCCCACACGTCTCTGAAGACGGATTTCTCAAACCAGTCTCCAGGGTTGTGAATCTCGTTTGCCAGCTGTTTGATTTGGCGATGCTTTCTTTCGTGAGTGAAGCAGGAAATCAGCGGTTTCTTTCGAGCAAAAGCGCCAAGGTGCAGGCTATAGTGGAATTTAGGCACAACATGCTCGGAGCCACATGCACTGAGAAATGCCCGGCAGTGTTTGAGGATGGCGGCCTCCAAATCGTCTGGTGGCACCTGCTCTCCCCGGTTCCCTTTAAGCAAGAGATCCAGGACGAGAAACAAATTCAAACAACTGGTCATCGCCTTTGCCAGTAAATCTGGAATGCTTCCTGTTGCAAGACTGAGCAAGAAAAGTCGCAGCAATGGGTACAGGTTCAGACCTTGAGAGGCACTACATTTGAACTCGCCAGGGGGAATTCTCTTGTCGAAAATCCTCAGTGTCTCGTTGCGGTGTGTCCTCAAGCCGTGGGGCCATTCGAAGGAACACATCCAGTCTTTCAGACTTTCCACTGTCATACCGTGGGAGTAGAGTATGGGGAACAAAAGCCCCAGCTCCACGTGCATCAGTCTTGCTACCAAGTAACAGTGTAGCCAGTCGTACATCAAAGTGGAGGCCAAAGGCAAGCTCCCATGGAACAGGACACCATCTGGGTTATGGTTCATCCCCAGTAACTGCTCCAGCTGCTCAAAAGCCTTCTTGGAGACTTGGCCACATCGGTCTCGCAGTAACCTGCAGCCCTGCCAGATGGTATTGTCCGTTCTTGCACAAAAATTCTCCAGAGCAGTTTCGTGCACAGCTACCAGTGTCCCAGTGTTGTCACAGCATTCCAGCATGCTCGTCTTGGCAACAACATTGGAGCACAAAGGACATGGTAGAGTCCCTGAAGAGCCCTTCACATTAAAAACTGCCTTCAAGGCAGCTTCATCTGCCACCGTGGTGTCCAGTTTGGCGAAGAACATAACTCGTTCACCGCCCGAGTCCAGAAGCAAACCATGCTCGAAGTCCTCAAGCTTCAGTGCTTGCAGGAGGTGGTGGGTGAACTGCGAAAGGCCGCCAGGAAGTTGGTTCACCAGATGGGACCTCGCCAAAGCCACCGTGAACCACATTTGTTCTTGGCAACGGAACTCTGCCCCGAATTCATGGAAGGAAAGGTAGTAGGCTTGGATCTTCCGTCTGTTTTGCTGCTTTAGTTGGTTGCCCGAAGATATCTCATCACAATATAAACACACCCGCCAAGGTGTGTTTGCCTTGGGCGGATGTTCCAGGAACTTCCTGCTGAAAAAACTAACAAGCAGGTTCTTGACGACGTACCACATCCAGGCTTTCAGATTCAATGTTGGGAAACTCCGTTCCTTTCCCTTCTTGTCTTTGATCTGCATATTGTCGATCAAAGCGCCATATGGTGTGTCGATGGCGACCTGTTCCTCTCTGGCTCTTTTGATGCCTGATCTGGAAGGTGCCACTGTGGAAGATGATTCGGAAACCTCCTTCAAAAATGCTTCCGACCCAAGCTGGCCACGTCCAACGACATGGCTAGTTTCTGAATGCCGGCGAGCTTGCAGCCCTGCCGGCTTGATGGACCCCAATGAAAATATCTATAATATCAGCTCTCGGCTTTTTTAATTACGAGCAATTTTGCGAAGGACATATAATTACCTATATTGAAGCTTCCCTTCCCGATATATGTTCTATTTATTTATTTATTTAGAAACCCTTAATCCATAAACCTTAAAAGCTTAACACTAAAACCCATACACATAAACTCTCAACCCTATCTATAACTTAACCCAAAACGATAACCCTTAACTCCTGGAATGGCATCAAAGCAGCTTCATGAGATCTGACTACATGGCCTGGCACAGAGCCAGCTTTGACGCAAGCTCTTGAAGAAGGAAGCGCGAAGTCTTCGGCCTCGACCCAACACCTTTGAGCCTTTCTGGAACTTAGATTCATGATGTCGAATGTTGGTTGGGTTCTGGTTTGAGAGTTTAAGGACATCTAAACTTCATCCTAAGCTTGTTTCCTCAATTTCCTTTGCTAAACTGTGAAGCCCAAGGCTTGAAAACCCCGTCATGAGAACAACACGATAAATTCTTTTTCAAACCCCAATGTTTAGGACCAAAGATAAACCTCATGCTCTCAGCATTACAAGCCACCTTTTCAAAAACAGTATCTCCTTAAAGAGATTTGACTGTCTCTTGGCCCTGAGATTAACGACACTGGCCTTGAAATGGCTGTTCAAACCCAGAAAGCAGGAGCTTTCTGCAAAATTGCGGGAGGCGATGGATTGCGTATGGGCCTCGGTGCTGTCGGCTCAGCAACCCCTGACATTCGACACCTGGGCTCCTCAACTGTTCAACCTGAGATGTGAACGTGAACGCAACCCAGGAAAGCCCAAGCCGTTTTGATAACAGAACAACAGCAAGGAAAGCGTATGAAGCCTCTCTCTGCATAGCATAGTTCCACCCCCCCTGCAGAAACCACCCGGAGCCCTGAACCCAAAGCCAAGGTAAAACTCAGTTCACAACCTAGACCAAAACCATCTAAACCACTTAAACCCTAAACGCAGAATCATTGATGTCTTTCAGGCCACGCCCCCGGGCCGGCATCTTCTCCTTTTCCCGGCCCTCCAAAGCAGCCTTGCATCCTAAACCAAAACCTGCAGCTGGGCGAAGCTATACCCTTAAATCACGTTTTCAAACTTGGGACGTGGGTTGTAGGACCCCGAAACCCAACATGGACAAGGCTCAGGGCATGGACGAGTAGTTGCGGGTCGCCGCCGCCCGAGGTTGGCTTCGTGTTTTTCTTGCTTGGCTTTGGGGTTTAGGTGTTGGGGCTTTGGCAGTTTCGGGTCTGGGGTTTAGAGTTGAGGTTTCTTGGACGATGACGTTCTTGACAACAGGGAAAATGTCTCTGACGAGATTTAGCTACAGCTTACCACTTTACCCACTGTCTGGAGAAGCTTGAGCAGCTTCCCCAAAGTCCGGCAGCTGCTCGATGAGAGCACTTTGCTTCACAGCTCGCCTCATTTGCTTGCTTGCTCGCAAGTTAGACTCCAATTCTTGATGCAGAAAAATCAAAGAGATCATATTCTGGAAAAGATCATCATATTCTGGTAAAGACCCCACCTCTGCCTCACAGAAACGTGCACTGCCTGTGTGTTATTACGAAGGTCTCGGGCTTCCAAGGCTTCGGGCTCAGGCCTAGTCATGGCTCAAGTCTCTTGGGATGAAGTTTGAAAAGTTCAGCGCTCAAGGCTTACTCAAATGCATGGGATCTTGTGTTTTGGGGTGTAAGAACACGGAGGAAGGTGTGACGAAGCATTCTACCACATTTGGGTTTAGCTTTGAGTTTAATGGTATTCTCTGTTTAGGTTTGAGTTAATGGGATTCCAAATAAATCCACAAGCCAACACCGAATTTTGCATTCCCGCTGAGGCTTTGTACAGTTTCTGACCCTTTCACGTCCTGCAGTTCCGGTTCACCATCTTACGTGCACTGCCAGCCCGGAACCCAACTTCACTATTCCTACTATCTTGCTGGTTGTCTGGGATTGCTGGACATGCCAGTGCAAACAATGATGGCTACCATTCCGCTTGCTACTCTTACACTACAGGTATCGTGTTTTCGGGAGCGCCGAAATCTATATCCCGCGCTAACAAACAACTCCTTGTGCCTCCCCGCTCCTTTAAACCTTCCAACACATGCAAGTCTGCTCACGGTAAACTGTTTCAGAGCCTTCGGGTCCACGCTTCAGAGTGACTTCTGAAAAAGCGGCTGAAAGTTTTGAGCGGCGTAACGTTAAAATGCAACCCGAAACCCTTTTTGTTGAAGCCTTAACCTTTTCGCATTTGAAGAACTACTACACAGGCTATTCAGCGTATCACATTACGCGATCAAGCTTCATGATCCCTTTCATCTATGTCTCAAACCCTAGTGAACTGCGGCGGACGTGTGCCACACTTGTTGCAGAACCACTTGGGACAGCGCAGGTAGCATCGTCTAGGGTTTGCCGACACTTCTGCAATTGATGGCAAACAGCTTTCTGGATAAGATTGAAGATAGTGACAGAGCATTTTTCAAACCAAGAATTTACTATAGAATAATAAATGAAACCTATAAATATCGTGTTTCTTGAATATTATTCAATTCGATATAATGACATCTTGAATTCCTTTAGAAAGAAATAATCGAACATGAAATATTATTCAAAAAGATTATTTACGGAATCTAAAAATCGTTCCCTTAAAATTACTAGAGCTTGCACGTATCACGATATGTATTTGGTAGGATTGGGTTTTGTATAGCAACCGAAGATTGCACCTACGAATGAATGATATCACTGAATCTATACGACGGGATTCATATCGGATTAGATGGAATTCGAATATTTTTTCATGGGACCGAAATCGGGTTCGATGGGATATGGATGGATGAAAGTAGATATATGAAAATTTCTCGAAAGACGATTTTATTTCATATTATTTTATGTCTTATTTTTTCATGATATTTTAATATTAAAATCGTGATTGAGGTAAAGGATATAAGTCGAGATACTACTATATATTTTGGCATTGATATTTAATAATGATGGAAAATTAAGTATATTTGTTTAAGTTAGATATTGAATTCAGTTTATACAAAGTAAATAAATTTTGAATATAGATTTTACGTTGAAATTTCACGAAATTCAATTTTTGTATTTTATTTCTATTATACTATTGATATTTTTTGGTTGTGGAATTGATGATTTGTAATCAAAATTTATTCAT